CTCTCCTCTCCGATCCACCTCCCGCCGCAAGTGCCAATTAGGTGACGGAGGCCACGGAGTCCACGAAGCGGGAGTGATACCTCCGTCAGCGCCCCCTCCCCTCTCCCTCTCCCGACCCTCAGCCCCCTCACCCGATCCTCCATCCCTCTCTCCCCCACCCCCTTTTACTCCTCTCAAGGCTTGTCTATTCCCGGGAAGGAAAAGTCCGCACTTCAAAGACAGCCTGGGAGTGACTGCGGGATCACCTCCGTCAGCAGCGCCCCGGGATGTGTGCAGGAGGAGGTTTCGCGGGAGGACTGGGGGGGGGGGGGGGGGGGCGGAGGACTGGGGGAAGAGGGAGGGAGGGGGCGAGGACTGGGGGAGGAGGGAGGGGAGGATACCTGCGGGAAGAGGGGGGAGGGGCGGAGGACTGAGGGAGGAGGGAGGGGAGGTTGACTGCGGGAAGAGGAGGGAGGGGTGGAGGACAGGGGAGGAGGGAGATAGGGGGGAGGACTGGGGAAGGGTGGAGGACTGGGGGGGGGGGGGCTTTTGAGACGAGGCTTTACGTTCGTGTTGTCTTCCCTCGCAAGGGCTGTCCTCATTATCTCGATTTTCGAGGCTTTGCCGCTTGATTCGGTTCTATCCTCGTTCTCTTATATGTCTTTTTAATCTTCGTATTCCCCCTCCCCCTTTTTTCTTCTTTCTTCTCCTCTCTCCCTGTCTTTCACCCTTTATTTATTTTCTCCTCCCCCCTCTTCCTCACACAAACCACGAAACAAAAAAAAAAAAACCTGACCAACCCTCAGTACACCAAAAAAAGTGAAAAAAAAAAATCGCAAAAAAAAAGACCCACAGAAGAGCGAAAAGAAGTGGCCAGAAGAATGAAGATTAAATTCCTGAGGTAATAGACCTTAACTGGCTACTGGACCGGCCAAATGAAACGTACAAATCCCAAATGAGATAGAAGTGGAGCCAGCGGGATCAGAGCGCGCTTCTCTCGCAAGACGGATTCCAGGCAAACTCCGCCAAAGGGAAATTACGTGATTGAGAAAGGGAGAGAAGGGGAAAGGGTAGGGAGGGAGGGAGGGGAGGGAGGGAGGGGGAGGGAGGGGGAGGAGGAGAGGAGGAAGGAAGGAAGGAAGGAAGGAA